GAATTTGACTTAACATCAATTAGGATAATTGGCATATTAGGAACCCCCTTGCAGCTGTTTTAGCCATTTATGCTGAATTCATGACCTTTTAGTTATTGTTTTAGCAGTATGTTTCGATAACTAACAAGTTTATCCTTTACTTAGTGTATCATTCACACGTGTAATGAAGTAATGTATTTATGCCTCGAACATTTGTATTGATGTCAGTTTTAACCCTTTATGTTCCACGCGGGATCCATTATAGGATTTGTTTACATCGTACAATGGACCACGTAGAACATAATAATATTTAATATAAGAATTCATCTTATACAGTATGAAAAAATAATAAATGAGGTTGAATTTCAGTTTAATCCTTCCGAACACTGAAAAAAATGCTTTCTTTAATGTTTCAAACTGTCATCTTAGCTACCAAAGTAAGGCGAATTCGTAGAATTATGTTGAGTAAATTTTTGTACAACCAAAACAAGACACACAAATGTTATATAAGCTGTTAACATGCTTGAGCAACTGGTTCGTTGCTGGATGTTCATTATCGCCTCTGTTGTTGTCAATATTAATTTTTGTCATTATCTTGGTGGAGATGATTTTGAAGATCAAATGCAAAATGATTATTTTCATTTTAAACAAACAGCCATTCCATTGCAAAACGATAAAGGGCACACTACGAAAAAGTCATGTAAACTTTAGTGCCCTGATACCGACACATGCTAGCAGCCCTTTTGACGTAACGATCAGTTAAAAAGGACGAGAAATTCAATTCAACCAAACGTTCGCTTCGTCGAGTTGCTTATATTTCGGTTTTAGAACACTTAATTTTACATGAAATGTTTGTTTGCGTTCCAAGTTTTATGCAAAGCTGAATTACATCTCGTGTCAAAATAGTCATTTCTAAGTGTGTGGTACTCAGAATTTCGTAAAAATTGGTAGTTTTGTTTCTTACCGCAAAAGATTCGACCCGTAAATTTTAATAATTTCCATGTTAGGGTGGTTCAAAAAGCCGATTTTAGTTTTCAAATCTGACCATGTTACAGTCGCTTTACATAAATGGAGACGCATGGTAGTCTAGTCGCATAGGAATATTGAGCGAAAACCCAAGACTTGATAACTTCAAAAAATATAACTCAAAAACAAAATTGGCTGGGTTCAAAAGTTTTAAATTTTTGAAATAAAAAAGATTTTGAAAAAAAAAATATTTTTTGGGCCACCGTAATATGGAAATGGTTATCTAATGACCAAATAAAAAAAAAACGGCCCTAATACTTTGCGATAAGGACCCAAACTACCAATTTTTACGAAATTCTGAGAACCACTATAATGTTTTGCTATGGAATGGCTGCAAATATAGTGCTGAAGAACGTGTTGTGTTGAGTTTTACACACACAGATCAATGGCAAATTATTGCCTCGTGCTAAATTGATGATTATATAGAGGTTTAGGTTATGGGGTCAACAATATTCAAAAGAATCATTTTGATCAAAATGAATTTGATTATTTTGCTTATGAGGATCGCTTCTGATTTCGACAATTTTGTGTTGGATAATCAAGCACTGGTGAATATCAACAAACGCGTATTCGTTGATGTAAAATGCAGCGAAGATTTTAAAAACAAACGCATTCATCTGCACTGGGTTGATGCACTACTCCTTGGTGGCTATAAATGATAAAAAACAGACACTGCTAAGTAGTTGTATCCTTGACCACTCAATACAACAGCGATGCAACTGCTCGTATTATTATTTTGGATACGACTGCTGGAAGGCTAAAATATCGTATTGCTCTCAAGATTGCAATTGAATTCAGATCTAATTCACTGTTCGCACTAACAAAAACAAACCTTCCCATGACAACCGTGGATGTGTTGAGGTGTTGTCGGTCTGTAGTAACTATCTAAGAACAGACGCCGCTATTGAAACTGATGGACCGGAGTTTGCAAACTGAGAATGGGTTGCTAATCCCAAGTCCCATTGATTTGGTACTTTGTGCAAATTAAGCTGGATCTGGTCTTGATCGGCCATCAATCCTCACTGTCATGCTCTAAACTAATTAATTGATATCCTCAGTATTTGATTTCATGAAAGTCCTCCTCAGAAGTCTATTGCAATTATCCTTGAACTTTCCATAGACTTTTTCTCTGACGCCTTTCGATTCTCTTCAGTATTCCTGTTGTGCTAACATCAGAACTCCTTTGAATCGATCATCAACATGTATTTCCGTTTGAATTATTCTCGGACTTTCTTTGAAATCAACCTCATAATTCAATTTTTTCACCGTGAGCGTTTCTATTCATAATTTATTTTGAAATTTCTTTGAATTTATTTTTAAAATTTACCTGGGTTTCTCTTTCTAGGATGTCTACACAAAGCTTTTACGAACCACACGCTTTTAGCCTACACAACATTATTCAAATGTTGGGACCAAGGTTGCAAAGACTCATTTCAGCTAAAACAATGTTTTTCTAAATTATGAAATAATTAGATGCCATGATCAAATTTTGAATTGGTAGGATACAAGAAGAGGTTGCAAAGAATGTGTTTGACATATTAAACCTGTTTATTTCACTTCATGAGAGTCACAATCAGCGATTTTTCACAAACTCACTCACTCACTCACTCACTCACTCAGCGATCAACAAATCGCTGATTGTGACTCATAGAAAGCAAAATTTACAGGTTTTATGTTTCCAACGCATACTTTGTAACCTCTTCTTGTAAGTTACAAGTAAAACATGCCATCATACAATCTTTTGGTTTTATTATTCCGAAAAACATTATTTTAGCTGAAATGAGTCTTTGCAACCTTGGTTGGGACCTGGAATTTTGTTAGGGACAGCCCCAAAGGGTTGTACGCAATGGCGACGTAGGACTACGTGGTCTTATATAATAAATCTTATTTGTTAACTGCAGCAGGAGCTTGTGTTTTGTGTAGGAATAGGAATTTGAGCGGAGTTCTCTTGTTTATGCTCTTTAGGACACGCTTGTCATAGATGGCCCACAGCGACTCACGTAGAGCTACTGATTCCGGTCAATAGCGGTGCGGCTGCTTCCTCCTTCTTTGGATGCTCATGTGAGCAGCAGCTCACTGCTTACAGGGAGCCATTCGTTGTGTACTGCAGAACACCACCACTCACCAAGCGGTGATTGAATAAACACCGTTTGGTGAGACCGAATGGAATTCAACTTTGAAATCTGTGTTAGGGAAATCGCTTTTCGCCTGCAATCGTTGATAATTTTAATTATCATAGCAATAGTTGCACATTCGTACGATTTTCAATAGTAACACTTTGAAATATTATAGTCTTAATTTTAGCAGATTAGTAGAAAAATTTCCTATGGATTGTCGTATTAAAAATTAAAATCCATCATCTCTGGATCAAAATCAGACATGAAAGTGGCCACGACCGACTTTGGATTTTGAAATTACACCTCCAATGTTGCCTTAAAGTATATGGTTTGTTAGATTTAAACATATCTAGATAGAGCTGGAATTAGGCGTAGAAGCTTTTGTAAACAATGACTTCTCTCGATGATTTTTAGGAATTCAAGGCACCCCCACGCAAACCAACATCACCGTCGGGTAAGGGAAGTCTTACCCTACCTGATGGTGATGTTGATTTGCATGGGCGAGCTTTGACTTTCAAGACATCACCGAAAGAAGTAATTGTTTACAAAAGCTGTTACGCTCTAATTCCAGCTCTATCTTGATATGGGAACTGACATCCGATTGATGACCAAAAAATATTCATTTACAAATTTATGGTGGTCCTGAAAAGGACCGTTTTGTCGTAATGGTTGAGTAATGCTGAAATATAAGGGTGTTGAACACAGATGAGGCTGGTGAGCTGTATGTTGTTTGGAATGAGGGTGACGCGCTTGGCATAGATGGCCCACAGCGACTCACGATGAGCTACTGATTCCGATCAATAGCGGTACGGCTTCTTCCTCTTTCTATGGATGTCCATGTGGGCTGCAGCTCGCTGCAGACTTTCGTTGTGTACTGGAGAACAATGTTCAATGCCACGCGCCAAAAGCACTGCTGCTGATGCCGATGACCGGACACCACCATACACAGTGATTGGAACTGAATCCGATCAGCGATTGAATCACTTTTTGCAGGCAATCGGTGATAATTTTAAAATCGCTATCACCTTCTGATAGCAAAATTTACAAATTTTATTTCCAGTATTTTTGTACAAAACGCATGCTAGACAATGTTCTAGGTATTGGAATAAATCAGTTCAGATCATTTTTCATTGAATATTATGTACGGAAAATGGATTTAATGACGGCCCAAATGCCCCTAATTTGGGCGCATATATAAATTCAGCAATCAACTAATTTTTCAATAGCGACCAACATATCCATTAGTACCGTCTCAATGACGCGTTCATCTAGATAAAATTGATAAGTAGCAGATTTTTAGCGATGGGCCCAATCTTAGATCCATAGGCCAACATTAGATCCATTTCCCCTATAATCCATCGAAAAGTCTTCCGACGACCGCATTCCAGTATCTGATTATGCGGAAATTTAATGAATATCTTGCATATCTATTATACAAATCTTTAATAAACAAAATTTTGCTTCCTGGTTGAGAGTGATCGATAAGTTCTACTCATACCGGACTGGAATCTGATCTATAGATACATCCGTTTTTTCAATAAATTATCATCATCTGTCAAATTCCACCATAGTATTATACTCGTCAAGTGATGCGTAATTTATGGGAAAACTTTCCATCCCTCTGGATTATGAGTCACTCGGTATGAATTTGGTACAACACCCCCAAAAATAGAACCCATTGCAACTAGTTCACCATATAGCAACAACAATAAACATCTGCTAACCCATCAGAATGGTTCAAGCTCGTCCCATGAACAGATAAAATCTCTCACGAAACAGATTCATACACAGTAATCCAATGAGCACTTCCGCCCCAAAAGCAGAACCACTTCCGAAATAACAAGATATGAGCAAGCACACTTCAATGTTTGTCCACAGCAAGTCACGCTACGGATTGTAGATACACTGAATATGATGACAACAAATGTCCCGCGGTCAAGTTCCTAGATCAACAGAGAAACGCTTTGAGTCTGTCGTGGTAGAAGACGGATTACCGAGTGGGGGAAAGTCATCCTCATTGTGGAATTAAAGTTTCCATTTCGTTGCCGACGCTCCTGGGACGATAGAATCATCAAGCAGCGAACTTTCCAGCAAAGAAGAGAACGGTCAATTTTTGGTCAATTGTCTTTTAACCAAATCGGTCAACGGTGAAATGAAAGGAGTCCTGATATTGTGCTTTCACGTGCTGGTGCTTAGCTTTCAAGCGAAGGTAAGTACCTAATTAATTCACGAATGACGCTACATACAGGGAACTTTCGAGCAGAGAAGCAACCGCTAACAGATGTCGGATTGCATTTGTGCGATTATGAATGGGTATGTCTCTCGGAGGACAGCTTTGAGTGAGGTTATAAAAGTAGTTCACCTGCGGGACGGATAGTGACGTAGATTGCAAAGTTTCATGCTAATAACTACTCGTTGGCTGGATCTAATTATGCAAATGAAGATGTCATCGTCGTCGTCTTGGTTTTCCAAAAATGTGATCAGAGAGCTGGGTTAATATTCACACAGGAAAGGTGGAATTAGCTGCACTTCGCCTATTCCGGGATGTGCTGATGTGTAATAGGAGTTGTTCTGATGGTAATGAGCTTTCTGTTGGCTTCAGCTGGGTCGTGGTTGATTAGTAGCTTGAATAAGTCTCTGGTGGAGAAGGATAAGAATTGCGGGGTGTGTTGGACTAATTAGTTTGATCTGTTGCGTAACCGAGGACTAATAACAGAGTGAAGTTTTCCGGCGACAGCTTTGAAATGTTTCCCTGGAGGCTGAATGATTAGCGTGATGTTTTAGATCAATAAGACTGGAATGGGGTACGTGCAGTGAAGACTGTTTTTGAGCGGTCTTCTTGAGAAATGCTATTTGTTGGTCTTTTGAAATAATGTTTCGCCTTATTAAACATGATAATTTTCGATGCCAGCCCTGGGTTTGTGCAGAAATACAGATCCACTATTATGAGACCATTCCGAGCGATTCTTCATCGTTGCGGTAAATGCCAGTTTAATTTAACCGATTTGAATTGTTGTTAGTATGATCATCTGGGGCCTCCCTTAGCTCTGTCGCTAAAGGCATAGCTACAAAGCAAGACCATGCTGGAGGTGGCTGGATTTGATTCCCGATCCAATCTAGGATTTTTTATTGGTTTGAAAATGTATCGACTTCCATGGGCATAGAGTATGACTGCACAGCAAAAAAAAAGTAGTGTAAATTTCCGTTACTATGATGCACATAAATGTAGCGTCATATATCATGCAAGTTTAGATTATAGATCGTGTAAATTTATGAGACATGTCCTGCAATATTCCATATATTGTATGCAACTGTTCACTTTTGTTTGCAACATTTCTTGCAAGCTGCTAGTTTACGTGTAAAGGAAGCAGGGTTACTTCCACTCACTTACTATAAAAAAACATTTTTCAGAATTATTAAATCATTAGATGTTATAATGATAATTACTACTTATAAGTTACAAGAAGAGGTCGTGAAGTATGTGTTTGATACAAAAAATCTGTCAATATTGCTTCCAGTGCGCCACAATCAGCAATTTTACGATTCGTGAACGCTCACGAATCATAAGATCGCTGATTGCGACGCTCTGAAAGTGAAATTGACAAGTTTTATGAGTTAAACACATACTTTACACCCTTTTCTAGTTACGTACAAGTACAACATATCATTATATTATCTAACGGTCTCAGAATTCTGAAAAAACAATTGTTTATAGCAAGTGAGTGGAAGCAACCCTGAAAGGAAGTTTACATGTATGAATGTTTGCATGCATCGATGTTTACATCGCCAGTAAAATTCAGAATTTTTTGGTGTTTGTACTTGCCACACACTTTTACTAATGCAAAAATGGTACAGGCATCGAAAGCTTTCAATTAATAACTGTGGATGTGCATCTAGAACACTATGTTGAGAGCACTAATAAGCTCTTATAAAAGCTAATATGCGATAAGCAATATGCTTGAAATGAAATTAAGAATAAGTTGAAGACGATCATCTGAAGAGATTGTGGAAGATAAGTAAGTATGAACAAACTCTATAATAAAACTTGATAAACTATAGATTAACTACAAATTAACTAATATTTGAATACTCATTTTATTAGTTTTGAAAATATAGGCAAATTTATTCTGTAAAGTCGTAGCTAAGTTAATTTCAAGCAACTTTACCGAGGAAATTATTCACAATTGTCTTAGTAAAAACATATCTTTTTAGCTCCAATTGTGTACTTAAACATGTTCTTGGAAGTAACCTGGAGGTTACTTTTAGGACTAGTTAATATGCACATTTTTACTAATAAAGTATATCCATATCTCTTGATAAAACCTCACCGAAGACGCAAAACGTTTGAAACTTAAGACAAATGCACTTGTTCTTTTATCGTGCTTGTATCCCAGAATTTGCAGAGTTATTTCGACAGTGAGCATTCATAAGGGCGTATACGCGATGATCGATTCTCTTAATCGATTTTCTCTTTTCTTAATAACTCGCTAGATTTAACGTTTGTCGGTGCGTTTGTTGTTGCTTTTGAAAGCCAATACAACCTATTACAACTCTACATTGAACAAATTCTACAAAATTGTTTCGCTTAGCTGTAGCAATGCAAAGAGAAAAACGATGCAGAGAATCGATCATCGCGTATACGCCCTTATGCATTGCTCACTGTCGATTTATCAGTCTATTACTATTTTTCAATAATTTTAAATTGGGTAGACAAGATGAGAGACATTTTCATGATTTTTACTTGCATTGCTCTAACTTTAGTTGCAGTCCAAACTTTGAAAAAAAAAAAAACGTTTGGTTGTCATGACAATGATCAACACGCTTGTTGTTGTTGTGATTTTCTCTCCTTGATTTGTTTTCCGTTGATCTTGTCTTCTGTACTGAGTACCAATGCTACCGACGCCAGGGAGGCAGCTCCCACCAGGGCGTTACAATATCAGCTTCAATCGACCAAATCGATGCGGCGAAGAGACTGCTGGCTTTCTTTTTCTGTTAAAGTCGAACAGCTTCGCAGCATTCTAGAACCTCAGTAAGCGTGCACAAACAATTGTTCAATCGCTTGTCTCTCTTTCTCCCGTCGCTGCATTGGTCTTCCTTTCAAGCTTCGGTGAAACGGATGAGCGAAAGAGCGCTCGACTTTGATAGTTTTCTCTTTCATGAAACACATCAACAGAGGTTTCATGACGTATATGACGGAAAATGAAATAACACATTTAAAGCATTTCTCACGAGAAAACACTTGAAGATTACACGTAATATGTTTAATTTATCTTCTATTCACATATTTATCTAAAAAACATTAACGAAAACGGGGCATAACGCATTTTAAACAAATTTAAAGAGCGGTGATAGAGTGTTCGTGAAAGGGGATTGAAAGCCATAATGAGGTTTCGTTTAACTAGAAAATCGACATTTATTACATTGAAAGCGATGAGCAAAGCAACGACGAGAAGATCCACAGCCAGTATTTCCTTCTAAGTGTGTTCTTTTTCACTATCATTTCTTGCTGATAGTCTAGCTACACACCAACAAATTATGAATTTTAATGGTGATGTAAATATCCATGCATGCTAAAATTGAAGCATGTAAACTTCCTTTTCACGTAAACTAGCAACTTGCAAGAAATATTGCGTACAAAGATGGATGGTTGCATACAATATTTAGAATATTTCATTGAATGACGCATAAATTTACCCGATCTATAATGTGAATTTGTATGATATGTGACGCTCCATTTATGTGCATCAAAGTGACAGAATTTTACACTACTTTTTCGAACTGTGTAGGCGTTATAGAAATGAAGCGTTGAACACGTTTGTATGAGAGAAACAAAACTCGAGTTCATTTTAGAGCTTCAAAAATGTAGAGCCCTGGTTCCCACACCTGGACCCTACCTATCGACCCATCAACACGTTGATCGGGGCCAACGGCTTTACTTTCCTTCCGAAGGAAGGCATGATCAGAGATTTTATGCCTCAGAAAATCCAGGCGGCGCCGACTGGGATTGAAGCCAGGCCTTTTGGAGTGAGAGGCAATCACGCTTACCACTACATCACCACCGCCACTATTGTTGTTGTGATGAAATTGGCGTTGTTTTTCGCATATATTAATTTTCCATTCTACCCTATTTTGTATTTTTTGCATTTATATTGTTCTTGATATGTTGTAAAACTGATCGTAACAACAACAGGCTTTTTGGTAATTGCGATAACAACAACATATCTCAAATTATATTTTTTTATGGAGTGCAGAGATAACTTTCTTATCACTTGACTTCAAAACGTAATGAGTCACGGAATTTACAAAGAACGTAACGTCCGAAAAAATCCGAAAACTTCAACTTAAATTATTCATAAACTCTTCCTGTGGGCAATATTCCATAAAATTCTGAAACTCTTCTGCCCTAACCTGCCAGATAATAAAACAAAAATTCCAAGATCTGAGTTCAGAAAAAAATCCTGCTGGGAAAGTTTTAATCAGAATTGACCGCTTTCATAACAAATGACATGTAATATGGTCAAAAGAAGAAGATTTCTCCTACAAAAAGATGTGGTGAAGTTCACCCTTCAATTTACGATAGAAAGCAGTTAAATATATTTAAAAAGTTTAAAATTTCAAAAGGTCCTTGCTTTGATCGATTCGCTTCATCGCCTTTCTCTTTTGATAACCACTGCTATGCAAACATATTTTGCGCTATTTTTACCACATAGGGTAGAGTACTACTTTGGCCGAATCGCCCATTTTGGGCCTATCGAGCTAAAACATCAAATAAATCCAGGAAATTACTTATTTTTTTTTTTATGTTTGGATAGGATGTTGATGCACTGCATAAATATAAGAAATATGATTTATTCGGGCCACTGATCATTTAATATTTACGTGCATTAAATTTTGTTACTAGTAGAGACTTGTGCGGATTGCTTCATATGGCTTCAAAGTTCTGTCGGAACTTTATTCGAACTTTATGGAGCTTGAAATTTTTGTCGGAACTTTATTTGAACTCTACGGAACTTGGCAGTGATTTTAATCGTTAAATGCGGAACTTTTAGTTACTTGGGGAGTTTCGAGTCAAGAAGCTGTGTTAGATTTTTAACAATATCTCAACAATTTGTTTTTCTTTAACAAATCTTACGGTACGTACAGAAAGGTAACAACATTTAGGAGTCGTCTGCAGTAAAAACATTTTATTTAGTGATACAAATCCACTGG